ATTAAATCCTATTGTTCCTCCTGCAGAAAACTCGTATCAAATTACACTAGAGCGTGATGCCAACACACCACATTGATAGTCCTCACAAGAATAAGCCCTGTAAACCTTTCATTTGCATTGTAAGGAGGCTACAAAAACATTTTTTATTACATCCACAATGAATTCCTTATGAGATCCTCCAGGAGAAAGTCTAGCCTGGACTTAAGACTAAAAATGTTATTACGCGTCCTAAGTATTAGAAGCTAGTGGCTTCCAGTATAGATTTACTGTTTAGAGTCCAAGGAACAAGCAATGAACGCATTCCTTCATTCGTTCAAAATATTTATTGAGTTTCTACTATAGGCCAGACTCTCCACTAAGATCCAGAAATGCAATTCTAAAGAAAATGGGAAGTATCTTTGACTTCAGAGACCTAGAGAGTAGTGGGAAGGAACAGATGATTAAGCAAATGATTATAATACAAAAATGTATTATATAATATAATGATATAGAGCAAGCTGAAAAAGATGCTAGGTAACTAGGTAAGATCTGTTGCCTCTCTGGGTGGACTGAGAGGCTCAAATAAAGTCAAACTTTGACTAACAGAATAGGAGGGCCCTAGAAGAAAGCTACACACTTCTGTGGAAATCAGGGAAGAAAGACATAGTGAGGAAAAGACTAGAAATAGGTGGATGGGTAGAGATACTGAGAACCTAATGCTGTCTATACCATGACCAGAAGTGTTCTATTTATGTACTTTGCATCACTATAACAGTCTGCTTGAGTAGAATTATATTGTGTAGAGTATTCATAACTATATGAAATCATTTCATGAGCCCCTGAAGAAACTGACCTGACTTTGTGACTCTAAATGACTAAGTTGAAGAAGGTATCAAAGAGAGAATGTTGTTTGAGATATAATCTTAGAGATTTTATTTATTAAATTGAGTCATACTAGTATAACCTTATTAGTTTATTTCCATCACCACTCCCATATGAAAGGAGAGAGAAATATCCAGGCTATACTGAGATTACAAACCCCTCCTTCAAATGAATTTTTGTTCTCAAAGATGCTGGAAATTCAGAGCAAAAAATTAAATACCTAAGAGGAATCGTGATTACAAAAGTTTAATTAAGCAGTTTTAGCCATAGTCTTATCACATAAGAAAATAATACATGAGACTTAGAGATTATGTGAGGAATTCAATGAACTTGGTACGTCCTGTGCTTGGTATAATAATAATAATAACCAATATTTATTGAAGGTTTATCTTGTGGCAAATCCTGGTTCTAAGTGTTTTCCATATATTAACTAACAACAGTCTCATATGGTAGGCAGTATTGTCATTTTACAGCTGAGGAAACTGAGGCATAAAGAGACATGGCAACATTTCCAAGTCATAAGATTGGTAAGTTCAAACCTAGTTAGTCCAACTCCAGGGCCCAGGCTCTTAGTCACTACTGTATTCTCCCAACTTCCATCCAAGAGTGTCTAAGGGAAGCTCAAAGGACACATCAGAGAACCCTGCCTCAGGATGTACCCAGGAGTTCATCTTCTCCTCTCTGGGGCCTTTATGACATGAAAATGAATGGGATTACAGCATAACAAGAGGGATCCTGTGCCCTACTCTGCTCAGAACAGTCGGTTGTGCCTATTGTCCCAATGCCCACCAGCAGCTCCTTTCATGCCACACAGTTCCAGTTTGAATAATAAGTTACATATTCACCTAAGTCCAGTGGCTAAGAAGTTATGTTCTGAAGTTTGCTGGGCCTACAATCAAAACCCAGTTTAGCCACTTACTAGCTGTGGGAGTTGAGGTCAATTACTTTGTCTCAATAAGCCTCAATTTTTTCACCTACTAAATGGAAATAATAATAGTCCCTACATAATAGCATTGCTATGAGAATTCTAGGAGCCAACACATATGAATCGATTTGTATAATCTTTAACAAATTGTGGACACCCAATACAAAATTCATTTTTATCAACATTAGATTAAATGTTTGAGAGGGTTTCTTACATTGGCATAATTGTGGTGGACTGTTTTGTAAACTTGAGACATCAAAGCATACCTGTGAATCTGGAGCACTTAGACAAGAACCACTATCAGTAATGAATGTCCAGTTTTTCTAAGTAAATCACTGGTACTTCAAGGATTATCCATTCTAAAACGAAATTATAATGCTAAAGCCATTGGAAATGCAGTCTGGGTCTCAGCCACTCCAAGGGATTTTAATCCATTCCATTGTAGGCTCCCTGGGAACCTCACTGAAATGCTAAATTTCATGGTGACATGGAGAAAGTAAGTATCCTTTCAGCTTTTAATCTCTTTGGGGTACGTTGTAGCCTCTTGAGCCAATCTGGATTCAAAGTTGTAACTTCTGGCATCATTCTGCATTCAAACATAAGCCACTGACTCACTGTACTTTGTATTCAAACCCTGGAATAGCTTTAATATTCAGGGAATATCCTTTATATGGCATGGGCATGACCGCAGACCAATCCTTTTGCTGGCAACTGCAGTAACTGGCTACATATGTTAGAACCTGCCAAAATGTTTGTCACCCAAGAAGAGAGAATCTTGAAAGACTGGCTCAATAGAACATAGTCAGGGGCTTGATAAAAACCACACAGCTAGTTAGTACACATACTGAACAAATTACCAATTTTTGCCTCATTCTTTCTTTGTTGTTAAATAAAGGGGTTAAATCCATTGGAAAAAAAATCAAGGGGTTGAACCTAACATGGTCAGGCTCTGCGCCCCTTAAGAAGATTCCATCTGCTCAAGAACGATAACTCGCTTCCCCCTTACTTTTAAAAACTTCTACTTCCTCCCATAGTAACCTATTTAATAGTATGCCTGACTGTCAGCAAGTTCTTTGCCTCCAGCCTAGCTTCCTCTCCTCATCATGCAAATTGCCGTTGGCTTTAATTAGATTTAATAAACCACTGGGAAGTGCAGCGAGGGAAATGGAGAGCCAAGATTATACAGTATGGGCTTACTCTTGTATGTCCAATACAGCATTTTCCCTGGAACTCTCATATCCTCCCAGGCTGGGAAAATAAAGAATGCCAAGCGCATGGAAAGACAGGCTGCTGCGGCTGCTGCTGCTGCTGCTGCTGTCCAAATGTGAACCGTGGGTGGAGAAAAATCATTTAGAAAAAGACAGTAAGGGAAAAGAGAAAATGAACCCGAATCCCCAACAGCTGCAAATAACGAAGCATGTGAATCTGTTACCTTGGATGAACTCTGCTTTCCTGCTCACAGACGGCAGGGTCCTGTTGAGCCCCAAGATCCTGTCTAGGTGGAAGGCGAACACCTCACTCATGTCCAAGGGCTGCTTGAGAAGCCCACAGGGGCTAGGGCCGCAGCGGAGCACAGCGCCAGGTGCGCCCCCCTCCAGCACCAGCAAACGGGCTCCGCTCTTAGAGGACACTGGCCGGAGCCCTGCCACTGTGCTGTCCGCCAAGAGTCGCATTCTTCGGATGTCATCTTTGCTCAGCCAGGAGGGGGCGCTCTCGCTGTAGATCCTAATGTTGCTTTCCCTGGAGCTGGGCTGCAGGAAGTCTGGGCCCCCGGCTCGCACTCCTGGACCCCGCACCAACCTCCAGGGTCGTTCTCCCATCTTAGCCAGGTTTGCTCCCTGAGCGTACCCAGGTGCTACAGCATCAGCTGCCCTTGCAGCTTCCTGCGGCTGAAGGGATGGTCCGACCAAAGCCTCCTGCCCTGGGGCAGCCGATGCCACTGCATGCTTTTTCCTGCGTTTGGGCTTCACGGTGCCACGGATATTGGCCGGCTTGCTGCGCTTGGAGCGTAGGGTAATGTACACCACATTGGGCTGCAGAGTGGACCCATTGCCCTGGGACTCTGGAGGCGCCAGGGTACCATCCAGGGGTATCTCAGGGAAGGATGCCTCGGCGGTGTCGCGGCTGCGATGTGGCCCCTTCTCAGCCACCTGTCCGTGCTGGAGAGAGGCCCTCCCCACCTGGCTCACCAGGAAACCCAGGTAGATGGCACAGGCAGTGCCCAGGAGAAGGTTTCTCCGGGTCCTTGGACGTCGGCTGCTCCAGAGTTTACACACCCGCGGGACGCACAGGGAGCAGATGAACCAGTTTATGAGCTGCCCCGGCTTGTCTGGACAGGTCATTTCTCTGCCGCATCCACATGTTGAACGGAGTTTAAAGTCTGCAGTTGGCTCCTGCTAATGTAATGCATGGTTTCCTGACTTCAGCTGTCGCGTCCGCTTCGGGACATAAACGGTCTCCAGTGGGTAGAGGTGGAAGGAAAGGGTTGGTAATGAAGCTGGGAATGTTTCAGACACAACAAACCTTTTAAACTATCAGTCTCCCCAAGGAGAAATGTGGCTGGTTTCTGGGAATGAATGGATACAGAGTTAACTGAGTCACAATCTCAAACCATTTAAGTTCCTCTACAAGAGTAAAGAAAAAAAGTCATCATTTCCTTTCATAAATATCACCACTAAATGTTTTTAAAAATAAAAGTTAAAACCATGGAAACAAGATAGATGTATAGATTTGACAGTCACTTTAAAGTAGTGAAAACAAGACACAAAAAATCCAAGAGTGTTTTATAACTTGTACCTAGAGTCATTTAAGTTGACTCTGAAGCAAAAGCATTAAAATGTGACAAACCTGGGCTTTTCCTTTTTGAAATTCAGAAAGAACTTAAGACAAGTAATAGGTGATTTTTAAAAACTCTATAACTATACCATATTTACTTTTTAAAGTCCTGAATTAACCAAGTACAAGCAGCAAGTATTAACAATAAAATTTAGAAACATATTCTCTTAGTCTAATGGTACAAATTTTTCTTCGTATTAATAATATGTTCCAGTAGCTTACATTGTTAGTATAATACAAAGCCGTAAATGTCCATATATGTTGGAAACAGTTGCATTTATTCTGTTTCTCTCTCTCTCTTTCTCTCTTACACATACACACACACACACAACACAACACAACTCTGACTGCTTTTTATTTCTTTTCTTTCCACCGAAGTCAGCTGAAAGAAAATAAAAGCATCTCTAGTTCTGTTTTTTCACTATTAAAAAGAAAAAGAAGAAACTCGTAAGCAACCTTACTTACACAGCTGGCCCCATGCTTGGCTCCAGGAAGAATGTAATCCTTGACTCTAATGCAAAGAACTTTTAAAGGCTGAGGCATGTAAGTAGAACATATTTCATGGTCAAGAGTGTTCCACATTTCAAACATTTCAGTTCAGCTTTAAAAGCTCCCTTGAAAACTACTGATTGCAAAGCAAAACTTGGAAACTGACTGCTGCATGGTTTTAAGAGATATAAGGCTTTTAAAAACAATAGTTAACAAAATAAACATTAATTTTAAATTCGGAAAAAAGAAATGCCGTAGAGAATCAGTTTTCATTCAAATAACTTTCCACTTATTTTTAACCCCTGGGAGCCCTCTAGTGTCGTGTTTGCAAAACAGACTCAGAAATGTCAGTCTCATGAAGTTCAAAAGATCGAGAGTGTTTGCTATCTTGGTGGAGCAGCTGCAGCCAAGGGAAGAACTTGTAAAATGAGGAATGCCATCACCCCTCGAGTGTCCATCCCGCATAACTTGGGGTTAGAGCACAAGCGTTCCCAGGAACTACTCACCTTACCATCTTGGCCATTTCATTTGTCTTCCACCAGTTCTGGAAAGAGAAGGCCTAGAAGTTCAGGAAAAAAAGGTAAGAAAGAGTTAATATAAATGAGGGGGAAAAAATAGAACAGTGAGATAAGAGTGCACATAGATAAGGAAAGACATTTATAGTGTGCAGTTGCACAGTGCAACAGTTCACAAAAAGAAGTCGTGGATTCTCTCTGATTGGAGGTTTTTAAAAAAAACAGGTAAGGGATTGGCCTGGGTGGTTTGCGTGTCCTAGCACAAAGGCAGGGGCTGATGACCTCGGGGTCTCAATTAGACTATGACAAATAGAATCAAAAGGCAAGAAGACAGAAAGGGAACAGGGATTTTTCCTCCCCACAGAGAAAGAAAGTTGTGATACTGAAGAGTGGGTAAAAGATTAGCATATGGTGTATATTCCTAAAAATACTATATTTTACAATGCAAAAAGAGCAAGGAGTTGGAATATATATGGAAGGAGAGAATAAACGTCCAAATGGTAAATTGACGAAAATTATAATCAGGCTGTTATTTTAGCACTCTAAACTCAGTCCTTTTTTCCTCTTTAAAAGTCCTGCCACATGGAGGAATGAGAAGGAGCAATCCCAATATTGATAGTAGCCTGGAAGTACCTGGGTATTTTGGCTAAACTTTCTGAGAATTCAGGCCTCAAAGCAATTTTATTTGCACTCAAAAACTCTTAAGGCACATACTTTCATACACACAGAATTATTTTCTATATAGAAAATGTGAACTTCTTGCAGGAAAACCATATCAAAGCTGCATTTTATAATCATCTTATTATTTTCACAGTTAAAGGAACAACTGACTTGGATCTATAAAAATTAAAAGTAAGCCTTTGGCAGAGGCCAGTTATAATAACCAGAAGTCTCCTCCAGCTGTTTTTAGAGCTACTTTTTTCATGGAGAAATGTCTAGGAGATAGTGCGAGTTGTGTGAGTCGGTAAATCTGGTTGACTACCTTCCTACCCCACTCCAAAAATGTCTCCTAGAAAAAGAACAATACACTGTCCCCTGCTATAGCCACAATAGGGATTAGTGGAGGCTCCACTCTCTACTCTGAACTATGATATTCAGAGAATGGGCTGAAGAGGGAGGAAGCCTGGCTTTAAATTCTTCTCATTTAACTCTTACGTGTGGTCCCCTGTGGCAAGTCATTTTACCCTGCCTCAGTTTCCCTCATGTGTAAGAGAAGAAAAATAATACCACTCACTCCATCGGTTTCTTGTGATGATTGAATGAGATAGCAGCCTTGGAATGATCATTTGAAATACCATGATGCCTCATTAAACTGCTCGGAAGCCTGTCTCCTCGGCCCAGGCCTTGACACATAGTCACCATTGCACCACAGCAAAGCTATCACGGTAGAATTGAGGACAAGCACACTGAATTATTTGTAGTCAAGATATTGATGTAACCAATACACTGGATAAACGGGGCTTGTCAGATATAATCAGAACACAATTTTAGTGATTGCCCCCCTCTACTGCCCATTGAAACCTCTTCTGTGGCCCGATATCTCTTTTCAACTTTCTTAAACGGAAACTCAGGCAGGCCCCATGACTTTTCCAGTAATACGTAAATTTTTTTAAAAGTTCTCCAGTTGTTAGCCATAGACATACAGACATATAATATACATAAACTAATTAATATGTTTGATTCTATATCATAGTAAATTTTTTAAAAAATTTCTTTCAAATTTCCAGAATTTCTCCAGAAGATAGCAGTCCCTCAAAAAGCATAACCAAAATCTACTGAAAAGGGACAGAGGAGATCCATCGTAGATTCTTTTTTGTTCCTGCCTAGAGTTCTTGTTCCTTAACCACTCACCCAGCCACTCACCTTACTTTGAGCCTGGCTCTGGCTGTTCCAAGGTAGTGGAGAGAGAGAAGCAATAATGGCAGAAATGGTTTTGCTACTCCATTCATAATGCTGCGAATTGACTTATAAGCTCTCCAGGTTTGGCAGGTATGTAAAGCTGACTCTGCGATGAGCATCTTGTAGTCACTTCAAAGACACCACTATCAAAGCATCTCTCTAGCTGGCTGTCGATGGCCCCTCAGTCCCTTGGAACTTGGTAGCCCCCTGTTCTGCTGAGATCACCTCAACTCTCCAGGCTGTTCTCTTAGGCAGCATTTAGGCTGACTCGCAGGCTGGTTTTCTAACTTGGACCTCTGTGTACTGCCCCACAAGTGATCCAATGGACATGGTCACCATGATTTGCTCCAGTAACCTCAGACTTCCCAATGCAGCAAACCACTTCCCTCAGCACAGTGGATCCATACCTCATTTTGGAATGTGGAAGCAATTGCCATCAATTGCTCATGGTCTCTGTTGAAACCGAATGGAAAGGTGTTTTTTGCCCTCAGGTAGCACGGGACACGGAGAAGTTTAATTTGGTTTTAGAAAAATAAAGCTAAATTCCTTGAACGAGTGTTAGTTTGAAAATTTGTTGCCACAATATAACATTCATTTATAACTTACAATATAATCTGTGCGTGCACATATAGAACTCAAAGCATTCGTTATTATTATTACATTAGATCAGAGAGACTAATAATTCTCGTGCCTAAAGTATTTTCTCTTCTTAAACATAATGAGAGAAATAAAGTGAAAAAGTAGACAGTGAGATAATGGTAGAGCCCATTAGAATTACCTGGGGACCTTTCCATATCTTTTTGGAGGGGCAAGGATGGTGATGGAGAGAAAACATGAGTAGAGCAGGATTGTGGGAATGTTCTGTTTCTTCGTTTAGATGAGATTTACCTAAGTATGTTTATTTTGAGATAGCACATTGACTATACATTTGTGATTTCTGTACTTTTCCATATTTATATATGTCTTATCCTTCAATCAAATTGGAAAGGTGGTAGATAAATAGTTATTTATTTTATATTCTTTATACCTTGTATATATGTTATAAATCTATAAAGAAGGAGAGTAGGACAAATAATTTGTTTACAATTAAAAAATGCATATTTTTTCAGTCATTTAAAAATTAAGTTTAAATATTAAAGAACAGCAAAAACCCCTGAAAATTTTAAAAATATATGAGTGTCTAGGCCCCATCCATCTTCCCAGAGACTCTAAATGATCTAAAGTAGGGCCCAGGAATCCACAGTTTTAAAAGCTTCTAATGTGCAGAGTTATAATTCACTGTATTATGAGTTAAATACTTAGTTCTAGAAGCAAATTAACACCTTTTTACAATTAAATGATGTCTTAGGTTTCACTGGCAATGAAGTAATCTGTAAATCCTTCAAGGCTTCCAATAGTAAGATCCTAGTTTGATGAAGGCTATTTGCCTTCAGTCTGGGACACCTCCTGGACCAGATTAGATAGTGAATCGGGCCTCATTCTTCCACCCACAGCACTCTCATTTCTCCCACTTCTGTCAGGTGTGTCACTTGCTGTGACTGTGTGGCAACTTGCCCATCTCCTGAGAGCCCTTGGGAAAGTGAAGGACAATATATAAGGACTCCAATCACTGAAAAGCTAAGTACTGAGTTTTTCTTTGCCGTTGTTGACCCAGGCTTGTTGCACAGATTGCCGACCTGCAGATGGACACCTTGTTCCTGGTTCAGTGCTGCCCAGACTCTTCCACTGGGGGACCCTATCCCTTGCTCCTCATATTCCTGATTTCTAGGAACCATAACCCTACTATGATTATAATCGCGGCATTAGCATAGGTTCCTGGGTACAACCTTTGCCCTACTTATTGTATGGAATTTGCTAATATCTTTGCTATCCATTCCAACACCAGGCCTGGACAGCACCAAGCTGCCCTGCTTGCCGCTGAAAAACTTTCAACTTTATAATCTTTGAAGTTTTGTCATAAAAGTGTTAAATAGTAGTCTATACTCTATCTGTCTTTTGACCAGTATGCAAAAGAAGTTATACTGATTATGTCATATTTTATAGAAATAGGTGCACTTTTTATCTGACAGTTGATTGCTCACCCCTAAGGACATCATTCCTGTTGACCTAAACTAGTACATCTATATGCAGTAGGAGAAGTGCTTTTGGAGAAAATCACCTGTCTCCTCAGAGCTGGTATTACAAATCTATGAAGTAACACTATGTGCCATAGCCTAATCACTCATATATGACCCAGAGAACACCAAATAGGCATATTTCCAGCAGATAAAATGCCTGGCATTGTATTGTATTAGGTATTCTCTCCTCTGTCTACTATTATACCATGCACTTTCCTCCATTTTCCTGGTATGGAAATCTCCTGCAATAATGCATTTGCCTCATTTCCCTAGGAACGTTTATTCCATGATTTGATGTTGTGTCTGTGTTAGAATGGTTCTGCCACATGACCAGAAACTGGGCGATGTCTGCATGAACATACTCTGATATGGTAAACAGATAAAACATATGACAGCCAATTTGGCATCTATTTGAAATAATAGACATGTACAAAGTTATTATTTCACTTCTTAATAATTAGATAATTCATGCAGGTTAGAATAATTTCCATTTGTTTTATAGTTCTAAAACCTGATAATTCATAGAGTCATCATGGAATAAAGTAAGAATTAGGAAAATTGGAGGTTGCCCTGGGTTTCTTCAAAAAGCCCCCACACAATCTAGACAACTAAGCTTCTCTGTTTCAGAAATGGGCACTCAAGGTCCTGATACTCTGCTCCATCTCTGTCCCCAGGGCACACACACAGAGGAGAAACCAGGACAGACACACTGGCTCTAGGTCATTCTTGGCAGAGACAGAACAACTCACGCAGCAGTAGTTTTCTGTCTTTGTAAAGGAGTAAAGATTGGATAAAACTGTCTCAACCCTTGGGCTCTTTGCAGGAAACTAGTGCAGACCAACAGATTATTTTTTCTCTCCTCACCTAAGGTATAGTTTATGTAAAAGAAAAAAATCTACAGAGTACATTTAAAGAAAGGAAAGGCCCCTGGCTTCACTAGATTAAATTTGGAACATTAGAAATGCATTGGGATTATAAGTAAACACCTTAAACTGCAGGAGAAGAATGTAGAGAGAAATTTGGAATCGTTTATTCATTTGTATCTGGTAGTTTTGGAACTGAGTTGGATCACCTACTGTGATTCTGACATATGTAGCCTATCTGATACAATGTTGGGGTATGTAACTACATACCCAAGTTTTAAGAATTGATAGTGAAACTGGATTGGAAAAGACAGACTGGGTTAATGTTACATACTCTACCCATTCACCCACTCCCACCTCCCCAGCACTGTGGATTCAAGCACCAGAAAAGAAGAACTACAGGAAGGCACTGATGGAGATATTTTCATATATTATTCTGTGCAATATCAATGCATCAGCAGCCATTGGCTTGCAAGGTGAAGAAATATGATGCAGGGTCAGGGAGCATCTCATCCTTTCCATTACCTCTCAGGTATTGCAACTTCTGGAGCACTGGTGGGTAGCTCCCATGGTGTGGACTTCAGGGTTGCCGTAGAAGGCAGCAACAGCAGCAGGTGAAGCAGTAAGTTGCCCATAAGTAGCTGCACAGAGAGAAAACATCCATGAGAGAGGCTTGTGTGTGGTAACCAGAACTACCTGGGTTATAAGCCTATGAACTACAAGACTAAGCATCCCTAAGACACAATAAGTGCTTTTCGGAGAGGTGCTGGACGTCTTGTTTTACGCAGGAGGGTAAAAGTCAGTACAGTTCAAGTCACTCCTGCCAAAGAATGCTAGGTAGCCATGGGCTAGTGAGACTTGGAGAAATGTACGTTGCACAACAGTTTAAAATTTATTGAAGACCTACTCAACGCTTGTCACTAAAGCTGGATTCTGTGGGGAGTACACAATGTGTAAGGCACTGCCTGGACATTAACTGAATTAACAAGTGCATGAATGAATGAACATATTAAGATGGTAAAACACATCCCAAGGCCAGTGGTTCTCAAAGTGTGACCCTGGACCCGCAGCATCAGCTTCACCTAGAAATTTGTTAGAAATGAAAATCCTCGAACCCCACCTGAGACCTACGGAATCGGAAACTGGAGGAGAGTCTTGTTTCAATACAGATATTGAAACAAGCCCTCCAGGTGACTGCCCTAGTGAGAAGCCCCAAAACGAATGGGGCAGGCCAGGAGGAAGACAGTAAGATGCCAAAAGAAGGTGGACAGAAAAGCAAAAAGTTGGGAGACGATTCAAAACAATATTTGCAGTTTATCTAAGGTTATTCTATTCTTTTTCCTGTCTTTATGAGAGTTCCATTTCCTTCCTGATATTTTATCCTTTGGATCAAAAACACAGAATGTGTTAACATCACATACCCTGCCCAGCCACCCACTCTCACCTACTCAGCGCCATAGATTCAAGCTCCTTCTCAAAGCAAGTTCACAGCATGTAGAAACTGGAAAAAGAAGGAATTTGAGAGAGACTACAGTTCACAGCCCATGGAATGAAAACCAGGAGCACTCATGGCTGGGTGTGGAGGGACTGCCTAAGGAAAAGTGCCAGAGAAAAATCAATCCTTGACAGCCCATCACCAGTTATGAATCCATAAAGACTCCTTTTATAGTAAAATCACACTGTTTTCCAAAGGGCAGTCATTGGGTTCCCATGGTCATGTAACATGTAGCATAGCCAAAAATTATAAGCCTAAAAGCTTTTGGTTAGAAGCTTGGAATGGGTTCTGAAATAAAAAGATGAAAAGATACCAAGGAGTATAACACAGAGAAAAAAAATTGAATATTTTTATAAGAATGAACATGTCGTTCTCTAAATATAACACACTCCAATTATTTTTCCACAGGAAATGACCAGTGCTTTGGTTAAGAATGCATATTATATTGCAGTTCTTTGGGGAATGAAGCCACCCTTGACTGAGGTAATCATCAGTTCAGAGGCAACTCCTTGTTTTATCTTTGCACTAATTGCTTAGAGAAATAACCAGACAATATAATTTATGACAATTAATCTGCATTTACCTGAGTTAACGAATTTGTGAACAAAAAGATTCCTATCTCAGGTAGGTGCTTTTGGCAAGATAATTAATTTAGCTTAGTTTCCTCATCTGAAAAGCTAAGATCATTATATCTAGTACACAGAATGGTTCTAATAATTAAATTGCATGTTATATGTAAAGCACTTAGCACAGTGCTTGATACATTCTAAGATGTAATTGCTCATTCATTATTTTCTCTTTTTTTGCAAGGATGATACTAATGGTTAGGCACTCTCTAAAGAGATATAAGACACTGTTGGTAAGATTCATTGATCAATACATGATTTCAGGTTCAAGAAACAGTTGTATTATTAAGTTACTAATGCAGCAAATTATCCAGAATTTGCTTCACTGTCTCCTTTTATACTTAACAAAAGACTTAAAAGATAATTAGGAATATATTCTGCATGCTACTTTGGATTCAAATCTTTGCCCATTTTTGCATTTGAAATTTAGAACTAGTCTATGGTAACCTATATGAGGCTATAGTGAGGTGATTCATAGCAATATAATTGAAATAGGGAGGTATCATAATTGAATACTTGTTTTACTTTTCTTAATAACGGCATCCATCTCATAGAGCTGGTGTGAGGATTAGATGAATTAATACATGCAAGCCCTTACAATATCAAAAAAAAAGTCAGTTTTGTTATTATCAGGTGGGGAAAAACAGACCTTAGAAATATTCATTTCTTACGGTCAAAATGAGATTCAGAGTTGGTCACGCCCATTTATACTTTGATCAAGGGAAAGGTCACCCAATTATTGGATGGATTTAGTCAGTTCTCCTGACAGGTATCTCCTTATTATGGAGAAACCTGTAATCGCTTATTAGAGACTGAAGTATTTGTTGCCATATCCTTAGACTCCTCTATTATGCTTTTATTTTTTCATTTAAAATATTTTTGGAGCAACTACCATGTGATAGGCGTTGTGAAATCACTTTGGAAGTAGCAGTTAAAATGATATACAATGGTCTAGCAGTCAAGGGACTTATAGGATCCTACCTTCTAGGCTGGACTCCCTTCTCAAAATTTCATCTCTATCCTGTTCTCCACCTTCTTCCTCATCTACCACCCTGAGAACCTGCCCAAACTGAGCAGAAATGTCTAGTTTCAGCTCTCAATTCTTCCCATTCTATCTGTCTCAATATAATTAAGTAGATCATGCCTACATACCTCAAATATGTCCATTCTAATCATACTAAATTTGTCTACCAAGTGACAGTATTGGACTGCTTTCGGTAGTTTTATAGATAATTCATTTTCATTGATAAATAATTCACTTACCAATCTGTCATAAGTTTCAAACTGACCCAAAGCTTATTTTCACTTATTCTATTATTGAATCATGGAAAAAAAAGACATTCTTCTTTTTGTTAAATAAGAAAAAAATGCTTTACAATTAATTGAATTTCAACTAACAGGTGGATAGATTTCTTTCTAAAATATATAGCTTTGTGAAATAAAAAAGTTTAATAAGTTGAGTTTGGAATTTCTGCAGCCAAACATATAAGTGTCTGAGAGGCTTGGTGAACAAAAGTTCATCACGAAACATTTTTATTTCTTTTCAAGTTTTCCATGAAGAGCAAAATTCAAAATTAAAATGTATAACTTTCTGTTTCAAGCAGTATATATTGTCAGGCTGGAAACTCTCAAAGGCCCTCTTACCTAAAACCTAGACCTAGAATAAATAAGGAAAAAATGCATATAATCCATTGTTTACAAATTTCCTAAAAATGAAAGATTCTCAAATTTAAAACTCCCATAAATGACATCAAGTTATCATCAAGTTATCTGTGGTTAATATTAGAAATCACAAGCATACAAAGAAAAAAAAACACAAAGAGAGAGAGAGAGAGAGAATTTTTGGAATTATTTGAATCCAAACGTAAATATAGATAGATAAACATAAACTGTTTAAAGGAAGACTAAGGGAACATGCAACAAAAGGATTTAAAAATGATTGGGTACACATCAAAAAAAATTTAAATAACATTTAGAAATGATAAAACTGTTCAAATTAAAATTCACTGAATAAAATGTTGGCCCCTGGAGTCAACTGTGTAGCTTACATTTAACTAAATCTTCTACCAAAAATAAGTTTAAAAATTGGAAAAACATATATCTAGAAAACAATCCTCTGAAAGCATTGGAGAGCCAGTGCAAGTAATATTGAGCAGCTAGAATCCTTGAGAAAGGGAAGCACACAAGATGTATTCAACATTCACCTCGGAATTTTCCTGGGGGCATTTTCCAAGTTGTGATGAAGGCGAAAGGAGCGCAAGAAGAAAGCAGGAGTCTCACACACCAGAGGAGACAAAGTCTGGTGTTTCAGGATGCCAAAGGAGCTCTGATTTGAGGAGCAAACTATTGAAAAAGACAGGAAGCTAAGAGAGTGTCTGCAAATCTGCACCCTAGTTTCCCTCAAATTGTGGGTAAATTTCTGACTTGTGCATGTGTAAGGCAAGCCTTCAAGATACATACTAGGAAACAGCAAACAGAAAGCTGGAGTGCTGAGCACAGATTTCAGCAGTTGAACAGCACTGAGGAGTTAAAGATTAAAATGAAATCCAGAGGGAGCGTGCTAAACTCAGGTCTAGGACTTGGGTAGAACTACTTTTTTAAATTTTCTTTTTTTTTTTTTTTTTTTTTTTTTTGAGTCAGAGTTTCACTCTTGTTGCCCAGGCTGGAGTGCAATGGCGTGATCTCGGCTCACTGCAACCTCCGCCTCCCGGAGGTTCAGGTAGTTCTCCTGCCTCAACCTCCTGAGTAGCTGGGATTACAGGCACGCGCCACAATGCCCAGCTAATTTTTGTATTTTTGGTAGAGATGGGATTTCACCATGTTGACCAGGCTGGTCTCGAACTCCTGACCTCGTGATCCACCCACCTCGGCCTCCCAAAGTGCTGGGATTACAGACGTGAGCCACCGCACCCGACTCGGGCAAAGCTACTTTTTAAGATGTCACATCCTGTAAGTAACAAATTAAAAAGCTCATGTATGACAAAGCTTAAAACTAAGTCTCAACTGGATCAAAGTCATTCACTGAAGTGCTTTATAACTAAAAAACAAAAGCAACACTTTTGTGGGAACATCATATAGAGAATGTACAGTATGCCATCTATATTCTGAAAACCGACTGAAAATTATAAAACATGCCAAAAATAACAACAGCAAATGACCAACACAGAGGGAAAAGGCGGGAAATTTAGAAAGAAAGAAAGAAAAAAAAAAAAACTTCCAGGCTCCATCCTTCAGGAATATCGAGGAGGCAGGCATGCAGCTGCTACCACTGAAGCCTGAGCCTAAGCCTGAGGCATAAGCTCTGCGTCACTTCCTGTGCCTGCAGGCGCGCCCTGACTGCGTGCCCGATTTCCAGGCTCTGTGCTATTGGAGTCCCTGGCTCTTGCAGTTCACGAGCCTGGGAGGCCGCATGCATCCAAAGGCCTTTTTCCTGTGCTGTTTGCGCGAGCTGCCCTCTCCCTGCCTGCCCACCCGAGCATGACCAAGGTGGTAGGCTGCCAGTGGCCATCTCCATAAAAGCAACTGAAAGTTTCATACTGGAAGCTCTTTTGGCTGGCACTCCCACAGTTCTATGAAATAAACTTATTTAAAGTTCTATGAAGTATGAAAACTTTTCCCTGCTCTTTGACTTGCACAAATTTTGTTTGTATCGTACATTAGAAGAGAGAAAAGGATGCCTTGCGATGGCATTATTAACTAATGGGGCACTGCAATTTTTACCAGGAGGTGAACTATGCTTAGAAGACTCAGACTTTTTAGAAAATCATTTCTCCACTTAAAAAAAAAAAAAAAAAAAAAAATTGAAGGAGGGCAAGAAATTTCACAACATAGTGATAAACAATCACCATCTTTATAGTATCCATATAACTATTCAAAAATAAAACATTTTTCCTAAGACCTGTGTGGTAAGTCGGTAGATAAGAGGCTTTTGTAAAGTGCTACTTATTGGTAGCTGACTTATATGAAGTAGTCCTAATGAATAATGAGGGTTAACTAGTATTGTTTGAAACTGTGCCTGTGAAAGTTGTAGCAGTCTTATTTAAAGTGTATAACAGTGTTCTCTTGCTTAATTTAATCTTTAACTTTATAGTATGCCACAACTATAAAGTATTAATGCTATTGTTACCCAAACAAGAAAAAAATTATTATTTTATTATGTCAAAAGTTTAAATAAGATGTTCTACTGCCATTGTTCTAGCTGTCCAGTGCATTAGCACTTCTTGATGTGCTTAGGAGGCGGATCCATGAATTCCTTAGACTTTCTGCCAGAATTAAAAAGTGTCTGATTAAATGGTGAACAGTAAGTAGACTGAGGCAAATTTCCAGTGATGATGTCATTTTTTATTTTGCTGTGCCTTTAGCTTGAGGATTACAACACAATTCTGTTTAAAACCAAACAGCATTAGTTCTTATCTATTTCCCAGATGGGAAATCTATTTTAAGTCAATATTTTAAAGAAATATGAAGCCATAACAAAAGCTATCATTTTTTCTCTGAAGTGCTAGTTAATGCATGCAAAGAAAATAGAGCGATTTAAAACTATTCATCGTTTAATGTTTAATGACACTTATTTTCAGTATATTTTATATGGGTAATTTTTTTTTACCTCCTGTAAAGAGGAGTAATGTTTATTGACTAAAGGTAAAAAATAATGGTTTAGACACCAATTCTTTTTCAAGATCTTTGACTATATTATGCATTGTACAATGGATTTTATTCTTCATGAAATTTTTTAGTTTCCCTACCTATAAGACAGAGATAATGACTTAGAGAGAGTTCTACAGGAGACTCAGACTTTAAAATACTTAGATTGATCGATAAAACAAAGTAAAGCAAAAGATAAGGAGTGTGAGAATT